CTAGCACTTTTTCTCCTTTCTTATTGTTTTGGGTTTCTGAACGAGAAATGGTCTGAAGTTTTCAATATCAGATTCTTCGAGAGGTGATACTATGCAAAAGAACAACTATTCGCACTAATACGATATATAATATATATTACAAAAATAAATCATGGACATCCGACCGTTTATAATTTTACTGTGGTCAATCTGTCACGAGAACAGCGGGGATGAATAAAATTTTCGGTAAAGCGGTGACCTTGATGTTCTTGAACATGACACGTGCGCCAACCCTACATACGAGTGTCAGCGGCATGCCATCACAGACACTGCGAATCCACATGACACGCCGTGAGAGTGAAATGAATATAGAAAAACAAAAGCCGCGGACATTCCCGGTCTACACCTGATAAGACAAAACGCGGATGAAAACGAACGCATCGCTGCTGAAAAGTCGTTACATAAAACGCGATAATAATCTGTTTCTATTGCCATATTCTATGGTGGTCGACGCATGAATGATGTATACATACGTGATACGACGGTGGACAAAGACTGTAATGCCTTTCATTCGAAGGGAAACTGAGTGAGGCCGGCACAAAACAGAACCTTAACGCATCCTGACAGGAGTCATTTTAAATATTTTTATTTATAAATTTCTTTTAAGTTTTCTAGGTTGATTGGTTAAATCAAATCATTTTGCAATATGAATGTGAATAGCAATAAAGGAATTTAATTAATATTTGATTATATGTATATTTTTTGAAAATATCAACTCAATTAATATTAATTACCCGTTTCTCGGTATACAGTTTTAAAATGTAAAAATTATTGGTATATTTCAGAATTTAAAGCACTATAGTTTATAAATAAAAGTTAGCTCACGTTAGTTACCTTGTTAGCAGTTTTTAACATACATACTTCAGAACAAAAAGTTGTAAGCTAGGATTATTATAGCGGATCCGGTAATTTTAATTCATCACTTTTATGAAATCAAAAGTTGTTTTATTAAACTTCCAATTTGTATGCGGCGATTTTAATAAGGTTCAAAAAAATAAGAGTTATTCCGGATAAGCGTGGAATTTTGTTATATAATTAATTGAAAATAATTTAATAAATTTTCATTATTATAGAATTATAAGAATAAAATGGTTTACTTATTTGACAAAAATGAACAAACGTTGAACTTAATGCTAATAAAATTCCATTTTAGTTAGAGGTGGTGGATGGTAAGTTTTAAATTTTTTGTTATAAATAACTTAGCTAGACTAAACTGAAACATATCATATTCATAAATCCTTTGTTGTTTCAAAATATTATAAAGTTTTTAAATTAATCGTATTAATGTATGTAAACATTCAAAATATGTACTTATTAAACAATTTATGTTTAGGTGGATGCATCAAAATTTAGGGATAATTAATTTCGGTACAAATCAAAATTTTATGTGGAGTTATTAGAAATGTAAATAGTGGCTATCAAATGATCGAATATGCGGCAGTTATTTTGGTAATAGTGATCAATGTGACGAATTTATTAAATAGTTATAACGGTATTTATAGATTTTGATATCCGATTTTCAAGTGTTAGATAGTTGAATACCAAACGAGCTTGGTTACACTCAATAGCGACTATGATTGAAAATACTATGCATACCCATCAGCGGATTTAACATACCACAATTAGCGTCCAATTTAATTACCTTATTTTTATATTTACTAAACATTTATAACATTTATAATATTGTGGTTAGCTTGTAGGTGTTATACAAATATCTCTATTTAATAATTTCATAATATAATTACGTGGCCACAATTGACAATAACATAAATAGTTTTTGAGTTATTAAATTCCACAAAGGTAAATTATATTTGTACGTTCCACACGGTAGAACGACATATTAGAAAGTATTAAATTCTTTTTAATATATATCCAAGTATTCACATGTTGAAGCACTTTCATGTACAAAGTATTAAAGTAATTGATAACTCATAATAAAATTTTTATTCTATATATTTTTATAAGTTGATATTAAAATGAGACGTTCTAATTACGGGTCTAAATAACAACACTCTAAGAATGAAGTCAGTTTCAGTTTATTATAAATTATAATTATATATAAATTATAAGAGAAAGCCCTATAATTCCTTTTATATCTTTAATGATATTACATATTATTAATCGACTTGAAAGTGTGTAAATAAGAATGAAAAATTTTAATATAAAATTATAACTATGTAATAAATTCTTAAGCCATTTTTGTAGTTAGGTGTCTAAATATTAATATTTTTAAATATCTTTCCTCTATTTCAAGCGAAAATAATTCCATCAATTATCCGTATGTCATGTATTCATTATTAACGTAAAAGTTTTCTGTCCAATGCATCTTTCCGATGAGATTGCACGGCTCGTTTCTAATAACCATAATGATAAAGATCCATAGTAAAAAAAAATGTAAATCGACCGATGTACCGTCTGTGACACACCTAGTTACATAAAATCATTTGTGCTGCGGTCACAAAATGATGAATCAACAAATTTGACTTCAGCTTCGCGGTGGTGTGAGTGCGGGGGTTAGATCGATTTCTATCCAGCGATAATTAGACTATGCTCTGCGTTTCTAAATGCCGTTTCTGTGCCTATAACTTGACAATATCCGCTAGTGTTATGACGTCTGATTACACATTTTTGATGATCGCTATGCATACATAACTGTTAATAACCGTCTGATATGCAAGGAATAAAAAGAAGCGAGATGACACCAGAAACTAGCATTAAAAGCATGGATTTAAAATGAAAATGATATTGACTAACTTCAATGTCAAAGGACATGCTGTGACGCCCTACCAGATAGGGTGCGCGAAAAACAAAACACCTTCATTTTACATGAACCCACCCTACATCAAAGATTTTTTCTCCGTATATTAATTGAGAGCGGGATCAAAGCATTGACTTTTGTGATTTGGTCGAAAATAGAGGATTTGGCTTGGCCAGATCACGTTTGTCACATAAAAGTTCGTAAATCCTAGACCAGTAGCATTGTCCGTTGCGACCAATCCAACCAGAATTAACCGCAAGATTCAAAGTCAAAAAGTTATTTCTTTTCAAAGAAAATCATTTCTGTTTTATCAGCATATTTTGTGTCATTTGCAGCCAGTCAGATTGAAAAGCTGGTCTTTAGGAATAAAAAAAAAACAACTAAATATATGCAAGATTTTTCCTTCCCAGTCTTTTCATTTATTACACGCGGATTTATTTATACAGTGTGTCGAATCATGCAATTTACACAATACACGTGGTCTTAGGAGATTCAAAGAGAGCCTGTGAAGCGAGAAGTTTATTGAAGCCTTCTTCTAAAGTCGTTGCTTTATGAACCGCCGTCCGTGATTCATTCCTTCAATTAGGTCACCTTATCTGAGCTATCTCGACCATTCTATAAAAAACTTTTACACAACGAATCTTTTACATATAATATATGCTGAACGTAAGTATTGTGTAATTTTTTCACTGAGCTTTTATTTGAAATGGATTTTAATAATTTTAGTTTACGGTCCTTTCATTTAATTTATTTAGTTTTATATTATAGTTCCTACTATTATACTGAAGGTGGAATTTGAGTTCAACGAAAGTAGGTTTTCCAATAAAATATTCGTTAGCTCGTTTTAAATTCATGAGTGGTACGGTATTTAGCCAGTTGGCATAAAATATTTAAAATATTAATAATTTTGTTTCTAAAGAAGATAAGTTACGATACATTAGATGCTTTGTTATAACGACGTTGCATGTCGTGAATTTCACATAATTGCAATAAAATTCCGTTTTACGATCATTACTACAATTATCATTGTATAATTATAGTAACGATGTAAATATATTGATATTTCTTCCGCTGTTTCATATGGATTCTATAATCGCGTGTTAATGTAAAAATATGTTATTAAAAAAAGTCGACTGTCTCTATTGTTTAGGTAAACGGAAAGTTGATCATTAGTTATTATTATATTGTTAGGAATATTATTTTTCACCGACGTTTCACATTATATTAAACAAAAAGAAACGTGGAACAAAAACCGCAAGCTGACAGTTAACAAGTGAAGTTGTCTCAACCCCGGGTGTGATAACAGTTTGTAATGGAATAATAACAATAAGTGCTATAGAGGGGAAGCAATCGGCCTCAACGCAAAGCTGACTCTGAAAAGCGCTTGCCACTTTTGTCCAGGTTAAGCTGCGTCACAAAGAGCAATACATATAAATCCTAGACAAGACATTTTCCGTACTGTAGCCACCGGGTCTCTTTGTACGAGCGCAATCAGCCGTCGGCGTACCCAGCAATTATTCAAAATACATCAGGCAATATTAGATAGGTGGGCTGGCCGATGCGTTTTGCATTGCGAATCAGTTGGACTTTGTGGAAGAGCGGCTGGGGAGTACTAGTGTTTATTCGCCGTCACCGACAGATTGTGGGGCCAGCCTTTTGCTAAATTGTCAACGCACTTGGGGATTGTTGACGGCGGTGCCACGGCTAAAACACTAATGGCCTATCGTTATCACAAAACTACGTCACATGTAAAGGACCGCTTGCGTAACGAGGCAAATGCGTTATATTAATTTAAATTTATGATGTAGACAAGACAAAGTGTTAATTAATTATGTGCCGATAATTTATTAGAGCTCGTATTGATTTCAGTCTTCTGCTGCTGAATTCCTCGCTTTTCTATCGGAAATCGGTGTAAAATAGTAGCCCCCGATGGCTGATAAAGGCGTCCTTTCAGGGACAAATAGAGCGACCAAGTTTACATAGGAAATACGGACGCGTGTGTAATGAACGTCTAACGGCGCTTAAAATATCTCTCGGAAATTCGGGGCGCAAATAAACGCCATTACAATACGAATGATCATTGGCGAAATGTTTAACTTGAGGCCTGTGTTCGCTCGCATTAGTATTCCCTTTGCGCAGTTTGTAGCTGTGCTGTACATTATTTGTATACACTAAGCATGAAATGTTGCCAAGCAAACGTGTACTATTTGCGTGGAGGTTTAGAAAGCAGACGCGGGGCCGGGCGGGGGTGCTGCGCGGGCGTGTGCGGGCCGGGGGGTGGTGGGAGGGGGGCCAGCGCGCGGGGGGGGGTGCGATGGGGTGGCAGCTCGCCCCCGCTTTGTGCACTACCTCCTCCCCATGCGTGCACGGATGAGAAACACTCGCCCACTCTGAGGTTTCAATATTCCATACCCAAATGCATTCAATTGCAACATTTTTAGACAAATGCAAAAGGAATCGTGTCCCCGCGCGTCCCTTTGATAAAAACTTAGGCGAGTCGATTTGTTTTATATATTTCCTTTGTGGCTGCTTTTATGCCCAAGTGGACTGGGGCCAATGTTTATTGGGCGATTTGTTTGACTAAATTGCGACAAAGTCAACATACGATGATCGAATTTTTACTATCAAAACTTATTTTATTTGACTGAATTAATGAGAAAATAAAACAGCATTATTTATAGCTTATTACAAGATTAGTGCTAAACATCCTCATAAATACGTATGTATATGTATATTGGAATCCGCACATAAAACTTCTTTGATCTACTGATATATGAAAAAAGAATTTAATTTCCACATTGCATGCTTATGAGAATCGAAAGGAGTCGAGTAAAAGGAATATTATTTTATATCGAACACCTTAAAGGGAGGTTGTCGATGTATTGAAATTTTAAAGTTCTTAATATTTGATATACATGAAAATACGTACGAACTTATATTTTCACTTATTTTAAATTGATAAGACGAAAATTTACGAAGAAAACTTTCATCTCATATATTTTAAAAGTGTAATCATTATTACGCAAACATCAAAAGCCTAGGAGCGAAAAGTTAATAATTTCCACTCGATACATAGCGAGAAACTACGTAACCTTAATTTTAATAACGTATCAACTGAAATAGGATATTTTTCATACAGCAAAGCTTCATTATATTTTCTATTTCCTCTCAAACTGTAGGTGAACAGTTATAGTGAATATATTTTACAAACAGATGGTATCTAATCATTAATTAAAACAAAACAATCAGTTGTCAATTGTGAACTCAGCCGTTAAGGTTCGGTGGCAATATTTCTATAATGAATGTAATCATCAATTACCTCTCAGTTTCCCGTCGAGTGCGCACAAGTCCTGACCTATTGTTAACAAACATTGCTATATGCTCTCTATGCACTGATTTTCGCATTGTTATTAGAAACGAAAATATTGTTGTCACAAGAGAACAGACTTAAAGAGATGTCGTGCGTTAATAAAACTTTCAGCTGACGTATAATTAAATAGGAAATAACAATTACATATATGACAACGATCGATATGTGTGATGTGATAATAACATACTCGTATGTCAGTATAGTATTTGTAAGATTTGTTATCTGGCAGCAGATTTTAATTCAATTATATACGTCGCTTACCGCAGATCGAAACGTATGTCAGAGAATCGGTGTCCTATTCTGAACTCCGTCGCCAATTTTCGGGGTGTCAGTGATCATAAAGTACGTGGCCGTGACAGATGATACGTCGAGATTTCGAACACTTGTCACGCTTCGTTCGCTTCATAAATGGTCTGAAAATGATTTTTTAAAAAATCCATTCAATTGCATATCCCCTCAAATAACATCGGATAAAGACTTTGTGTTTCAACACGACATCGTGTAAGTCTGTATCGTTGTCATACATTTGGAATATAACAAAGTGATTATAGTTTGCCGAAGTGATTATAGGAAAAACCTTTTGTATGGCATTGCCGTCTCACTCATTAAAATGGTGAAGTCGCGGACTGTACTAAGTTTGACTTATCGATTTGATAAATATTATACGTTGATGCTACTAATACGTGGATTAAAACTTCTCTAAGCAAAATGAAAATCATTATTATTATTAATAAATCAAATATTTATATTTAAATGTGTCTTAAATCATTTCTATGCAAAAGTATGGAGTATCATTACTACTAATTTATTCGCAAATATTTACTCTTAAACAAGATATAAGCTTCATAAGAATGTAAGTTAGACACTTATTTTAAACTAAAAGATGTTTCTTGAAAATAAAACTAACATTTAGTTAAGATTTTCTTTTTATAACATTAGTAGCATAATTATGACATAATACAGTGTAAGGCTGTCTGTCAACTTAACGCAGACATAGTGATGGGAACAAAACTAGAAAATTATATAATATTTTTCGATAAATGTGAAATGTGATATATTATTCAGTGGCAGTCATTATCATAATTACCGCTTTTGATTGCTCATTTGTATTCGGCTTCCTATAACATTATTATATAGACGTCGATGGTATGGATTGACTAATAACATATATAAATAAGTGGAACATAATATTAAAGTATACAAAATTTATATTTATTTAAATGAGTGTCGGAATCGACACGGAACTATATAGAAATGGAACGCTTCAATTTTCTTGACTTTTCAGCTCGTTTAGCAACTCAAGGCTCAGAGTAGAAGAATTTAAAGGTGTGTTCCGAGATGGCTGGCGTGTTTTATGTGGTATTTCTAAGTCTAATTTGTAAAGAGTCTCATGATAATAATAATTATATTAAAATACTGTTAGGTTTTTTAACGATAAATAAGTAAAACGGATTAAAAAAAATATTCAACATCCATCAACATCGATATATTAATGTTCGTTTTTTAAATTGAGTAATGTGTCCAAAGGAATATTATTCGGGAAATTTAATTATAATCACTACATGTTCGCGCCCAAACCAGATCTGTCAAGATAAATCAATTATTTTTAAAGCTTAACAATGATAAACGAAGTAAGTCCGCGGCGTTAAGCTAGCGCGACCGTAATTTGACTGTTTAATCGCTACTGGAGGCATATTGGGTGCAATATTTAAGCGTATCAGGCGATAAATTTCGTGCGCGTTCTCTGTACAGAGTTGATGATACACGACCGTAAACAAAATAGATTAAACACACAAACACTTATATGGAATATATAAAAAAAAATATTACATTTCAATTTTAAATTGACATTTACTTTGACAAAAATATATATAACCAGTCCCATGATTTAAAGTGTTTTATACGTTTTTTTATCTATTTATATTCTCAAAGAGACTCCTTTAGTTTATTTACATAAAATATTGACGTAAACGTTCCAATGTTGTAAAGGAAAATTTATCAAACGGAGAAAATAAAATATGTATGAGAACAAACATTGAATGGTAAAAAAGAAACATATATAAAAATAAGTTACAGTTTCATTACGTTGCATTTTAAAGTAATATCTTGCCGTAAGCAAATTATAGCTGAATATTCAACGAGCAAACGTTCGCGGATAAGCGTGTATGCATCAAATATTGTATTATTAACGTCTCTATTTAAATAGCAATACGGACTGCTCCCCGGAAACGGACTCATAAAGTATGAACCACTCCTGTTAAACGATTCAGACTATAAAACGTATAGCGAACATTTAAACTACGGATACTCAAAATTAAAACTGTTATAACACAGTTAAATTTTTAATGAATAGACTTGGAATAAGTTCATATTTAAGGACCGTCAAACACGCTCGCTGACTTGACATGTAGCATCGCGGTACGGGGATGTTACGGTTACAGCTAGTTCGCTTTGCAATATAACAACTTAACCTGGTCCTTTGAAAAGAAATACATAGCTTTTATAAGCTCAGCTCGTTTGACATACGTAAACAAATGTTACACATTCACGTATATTAATTGCGGTGTGGAAGACGTATTTGTTTTCATACTTTTAATCGTATGTTTTATGTTTTTATAGAAGCTGTTACTAGTGATATATAGAAAGAGAGGGGTTTTTTCTTGAGTTTAGTCAGCGTACTGAAATTCTTCAGTCGCTACGATAGATAATATCTGATTTATGTACTATCTAATGTTGTAGTTGATGCATATTCGTTGACATGTATTTTTATATAAAAAAAAAACAAAAGTAGAAAACAATAGTCGATCTGAGATACAGGCAGAGTCTTATACCAACACAAGCGAGCTCATGTTTGAGTGAACGCATAAGAATGTGGGGTTCGAGCTCAGGCGGTAGACAGAGAGGGATGTGTGGGAGCGGGATGACGATATCGCAATTACCTCGTGAGATTGTTGAATAAATTTACATTCAGTTGATTGAAATAATAATGAAATTGCTACGACACACTCCGTAGCTTCATACGCGGTATTTAAATTAATAATAAAATCATAATGTTACACAAATCGCGCATGTGATACGCGCCGCCATCTCTATGATAATTAGGTTCTTTCTCATCCCGCCTTTTGTTTTGAATAATTCAAATTCGATTCAAATTTTCTGCCCGGTGTAACGCGTATTTTTATTTCACTCTCTCATATATTGAAATTTATATGTACAGAATTTATTTTAATTTAACAAAAGACATAAATTGAATCGCAAATTTCATTGTATGTTGGTATGTTATTATTAAATTTGTTAGGGAATAGGTACTTACGAATTACTGTTACATTCGCTTTTGCGATTGTGTTTTATCAAGATGACAGAAAATTTTAATTAGCATTCAATAATACGTGCTAATAAACGATCAGTTTCGCGTATAAAATTCTACCATCAGCTGAACTTGGTGTGGAAAATTGTTATAGCCAGTGATAATTGTGTGTACATTTCTAATATACTTGCAAATAAATAGGCGGACCGGCGTTATTTAATAAGTTTTATGGTCGAATAATAACACGATAAAGTGAAGTGGGTCACCTGGACTGTGTGTTACTATATAATTTTATATCACATTAGAACGTTTACCGTTAACTGATATTCTTGATCTATTTTACTTATTATTAGTATGACAGCATATATTTATTTACTTCAAATTATGTACTGTTTTATATGACCTACTAGCTAGATAATTAATGAGCCTATATTTCTTTATATGCTCTTTTATTAACAATATGTTCAGCTTTTCTATGTTAGAATATAAAGGCAAATAAATAATTACTAATATCCATCGTAGCCCTTGATGCTCAGAATTTTTAGTGCTTCGCAGTATAAGAATTATTACTTCATTAGCACTTACAGATAATAATTTTCTAACCTAACGCAATATCTTTGGTGAAAAACGTATTCATATATGAAAATCTTAAATAAAGGTATGAAAGAAAAAGTGTAATGGATAATTGCCATCAATGTTTTGGATAACAAGTATTAAGAAAGATGTTCTAAATATCCTAACTTTTTATTGATTAATTTTAATATAGGTCAAAGAACAGAATATAGGGTTCAAGAAAACAACCCTTGACCGCAGTCAAGGGTAAATCGAATGGACATATCGGTGACTATTCGAACGGAAGAATCCGGCGACTGCGTGAGGTGGAAGCCGCTAATTTAACATGAGCCCCGTTTGGAGGCGCGTCTGTATGAAATAGAGGTTTGTGTTTACTGGCTCGGATGCTCCGACCCTGACCTAGCCCAAGTGTTGTTCGGGTCACGGCGGGCGGGGGTGTCTGGGGGCATTCACCTTGAGACATACGATAGAAGCGACCGCGAGCTAAAGGGGAAATACCTATATATGTTTCCCTATTGATGTCTGTATTGTTCGAGCCCATTGATCTCCCTTTGCAATGAAGTCCCCGTTTTGGAATTAATAAAATTTCACCTATTACCTCGATACGTTTAGGTTTACCGTATCCTAACATATCATGAAGCTATTTGGATAAAATGTCAGACAAGTTAGCAGCTGTCAATAACAGTAGTTTTTCAATTTTTCAATCTTTGTAAATTTTTTTTCGTTAGTCATATTAACTGGTCATGCGAGGTAGATTCCATTCGGACGTTTCATGAAATGAAAACCCTGGTATTCTTTCTAATTTATTTTCTAAAAGCTTCCTATGTTAAAATCTTTCGAACGCCGCTAGACATGTTACAAAAGGCCTTTCAATATGACAGTGGGACCGGTCAGACGAATTATGTTCAATCAATTTGGGACCTTAGAATTGTTAATACATAGTAAACTTTTAGGGAAAAAGGCTATATTGTTACTGAAGCATGATGACAAGATATAATAATTATAAGAAACTTTGATGGTAACTGTAAGTTAAATTCTATTACGTTGCACATATTGTCTAACATCTGTATACCAAATGTAAGTTGGTGCACATACATACAAAAAAAATAACAAAACGGCATACGTATGGCTGTATCTAGCAAAGTATTTCACTCGCAGGAAAACTAGGAATTTACGAGTTTACATAGTCAGTGATTTATTTCGTTATTGTTTACATAAATTAATATAAATCAAATAATATGCAGGAAAATTCATGAAAAAGTGTTAACATTGATACGTCGTATATTTTTATCAAACGAATTTCGCTCCGCTACCTGTAATCTTTATCAAATTGCCAACCGCACGAGGTGTGGGTGTTAAATTGCAACTTCCACGTTCGGAAACTACATCAAAGATGTGACCGTATCTTCATGACTTAAGGAAGTGGACAAAGTAGGACATACGGACGGGATACAGACATCCGTTGGCATCCTAGCTAACTGAGTAACGAGTGAATGAATGAATTAGCCTATTAAATATGTTCCCGTTCATTTCTAACAGTTGTGAGAATTGGTGATTGTTATACCAAAAAATTACTTCTAAATACCTAATTGAATAAATTGCTCGTATACCATCTACATTTTTAACAACATTTTATTTCAATGCAAGTTTGAATTTTTTTTCTGTAATTTTCGTAGAACGTTATTTTAACGATCAGTTTTCGTCAAAATAAAAAATGATTAGGTAGCACGTACTGTATATAAAACTTCTTTTTATTTTAAAATCCTAATACACTAATGTTTCTAATTCTAACTAATTACAGCCTTTGTCACTATTTTACAAACTATGACAATCAATATTATTGAACATGATAGTACAGAACTAAATAAGACTAAAATTATATGGAGAAATATTATTAAAATCTTTAGTTCATACAATTTATGTGTTATTGCTTTTAAGCCGGACGTTAAATCCTTTAGCGTGAAGGTGCTACATCCAGCCGGATCTTTGTATATTGAGAAATTCCTTCAATTATATTGTATCCGTGTTTACAGCAACGGGCAATAAATGGTCGCATTTGTAACAAAATAAATGCTGCTAACTTTAATATGTATGCAAATGTTTAGACATATACTGCTAGATAATTATATCAAAAACTGTATATCTAAAATATCTAAATAATGTATTTAATATTTTAATCAAAACGGGAAAAAGATCCTGTAATGAGAGAAATTAAAAGTTTCTAAGAAATAAACTTGTAAGTGCAACAGAGTTATGTTTAATTAAGTTTATAATAATGTTTATAAGACCAGCCAAGTTAAAAGTAATTCTTTTTCATTAAAACGGAATTTAATATTTAAGTTTGAGGAATCTGTTTTAGATATAAAATGGAATTTTTATTGAAGCGTAGACGCAATTAAAATGTAATTTTACTGTTATTGTATCTTATCTTATGCTGTATATATTAATGTATAGTTTTTAATATATTTAATAATTCATTTCAATTCTGTGATTTATAGCATACCTCCTTGCCAAATGTGCAGTGTCGCCTATGAATTTAAAGTTTATTGACCTCAGAAACTAGTATATGTATTGAATTATGGATTGCTGCAATAAAATAGTTTGTTTATAGAGTAGAATACAATTAGCGAAACAAAAAATGTGAAGAAATCCGGAACGACATACTGGTACTATGAAAAACAATACTATTTGCGGTCGACTACGCGATCTAATGAAATTATAAATATATGGAATACTAAGTATAATAATAATCATCCAATCAATCGTTCATCACGTTCACATGTGAACAAAGTGATAGAGATAGCCAATCAACCAAGAAGAAACGCCATGTATTAGTGCACAAGTGTTGCAAATGCTATCAACAAATCTACTTACTTACAAATCATTTTAATCTTTTTTCCAATACAGTAGAGACTATTATTGTTCAAAAAGATTTTTTCTTTTAGATATCAAGCGGCAATATTATTTTTATAACACAAAAGCGTTTAACTGTAGCTTCAAATTGGAAGAATTACATTAGGGAAGGTTTGAGTGTATCAGTTTTTCATTTCCCTTAGCAGTCTGAAGCTTATAAGCGGATTTAAAAAAAAGAGGAAATTTTATATCTACTACCTTTGTTACGGCGCACATAATCTATAGCGGATTAGTTCGTCTCTTTCAAATGAAAGTCAGTTTAGATAACAGATTACCGTACAGTATTTAGTCAGAGATTTGTATTCGACAAGAATATGAGAACTGTATATAGGTGGAGGTATAAATAAATGTTAGGTGGATATTGAAGGCAACAATTTCAGTGAAGCCAGCAGGTATAGTTAATACATTTACGTGAGAGACTTGTGCAGGTCGGTTCGCTTAACCTGGCTAACCCTATCGACGCCCACGCTTGTCCCGCCGACCCCGTACTGCAGTCACCTCCGCTCGCCAATTTACTAATTGTGTTCGTTCACTCCTAGTCCTAATACTTTTGTATTATTTACCGTCATTTGCAAACTTCCTAATTGATGCGATACAGTGTCGACGTGAATTCTATAGATACATAATTAAGTCGAATAAGATTAGCGTCTGTCATTGAAATTGCGTTAAGCGTACGCTTTCAAAGCTAATTCAAGCTGTAGGTACAGTGTGCCGTTGATGCTTTCCGTCACCCGCCCGAAAAGCACTTTCAGACGCGTCAAGCGCGCCTCCAGAGTGCAAGGGGATGGGCTCCCACCCCGACCGAGTTCAAAAAAAGGCGATGCACTTCGGATTGTTCCTTTTATGTTCGCGATCGATCGTTTCGGTAAAGGAGCGAGTTTTATCTGTCCGGCCGGCTACTGTTACTTCACACGTGGTACCCTAATTGGGGATCCCGGCCTATTCTATTAGAAAATAGAAGAAAACCACGCAGAGATTTTGTGGAACCGACTCTATGGAGAGTGAACGCTGTCAACGTGTTGCCCCAGCGCTGTAGCTCACAATTTATTCAGATGTAATGGATCATGAAGAAGAGAATTCGATCGGGGAGCGTTAAAAATTTGCTTTCAATATCAGAAATACGATTACGTCGGTTTAAAGTCTCCCTTCAATTTGCCCTGTTAAAACTTACCTGCATTTCGTAAACCACGGTACACCAGAGAAGTGACTTACCTGTAAAACAATACACACAATTACTGTCGTGTTTTAAATTAACATTAAAATTTCTATATGTGATAAAATGCATAAAAAGGCATATGTAGGAATTTAAATCGGCCATTACGATCAATCCTATGCTTGGGGCGAGTTTCGTGGCTTCAATGAACACAAAAACGAAAAGACCATTTGACACATAATTATCATTACATTGCTTTTGTTTTACTCGTGTTTTATATAAATATTGATATAAAAATACTATAATAATAAGTTCAAATTGAATGCCACATGATACATATAAAATAAAACAATTGAATCTTAACTATGTGAGAAAAGTATTCCGAGAACGATTCCGCTTCAACAATTTATAAAATGTATCCGTTAAGTATATGGTTTATTTAACAATAAGTAAAAAGTTTATATAACAGGAGTGCTATTGAGCTTACTAAGTACTTAATAACAGTGAAGCGTATCGAGTACCGACTAAGGACGATTAGAATTAATACATAATGACACATATATGTATGTACGTAAAGAATATATTTATTTATTATATATAATAATAACATAAATATGTATATTGAAGAACTATAACATTTTTTTTTTAATAATATTTTCTTTCATACTAATTTGTTACGTAATTTTTATACACATATAATAATATTGAGTGGTGTGTCATATTTTTTTTTGTTATGATATATAAAAATATATTACAGAGTAGTTAATAAATGTAATATTGAAGATTTTTATAAATACACGATTCACAAAATGAAGTATGATAAAACTTAATTTTTTTTAACAATTATCACCTTTAAAACATTATTACAATTTATTAAAATAAAAAATATTGTATATATTATAGGAGATATTTAAAACGCGCCAATGTATGTTAAAGTATGCTATACTCATACTTTTTTTAAAAGTCCATATAAGCGAATAAAATTGTACGCCATATAAAGGGGTGAAACAATTATTTCACAGTGACGATTTATCATATATGGGCATCGATTAAAATATGACATTTTACTTACCTAATGATAAAACGGCAAAACGTAAATAACTATAAATATCAATTAAACATGTAAAAAAACAGCGAAATAACAACAAACGTTGCTTTAATATTTATTGTTTTAAATACAATGAGCTGTAATTAGCAACATTGTTGCCTCCACCGACCCCTTAGATATTTTAATAGCTACATAATAATTTATTTTTATTATCTACACATTTTTATTTCATAAATAAAAATACAATTAGAAGGTTTATTAATATTAATTAAATTTTGAGATGGAAGTATTGTTTTATTTTAAAATGTCTGTGTACAACTTTGTATGACAATTACATGATAAAACTCCTTTAAATGAGCTGTCGTTATGAAGAGAAAAAAAGTTTTAAGAGCAAAATATTTCAACTATAGATAATTGATGTTTCAAAAAGGGAAGGTATTTAAAAAAACAGGATGATTTTCTTTCATCACAATTACTAAATAATATTCTGTTCTATTGAACTTTTTATTGTAGGTCT